TATGTCAAGTTAAAAACCTAGCTACCAACCATGGAGTGACAAAACTTGTGGTCTTTTAGGTATTTATCATTAGATTCTTGAAAAATTTAATCTCTAAACAATACACCATATCCAGATCCTCTCTGATCATCTTTTTCTTTTATCCTTTCAGTTTTACAATCTAGTAAAAGAATATCACGAGGATTAAGTTGGTCCTAAGTGAGTTTGACATATTCCGTATTGATCGGTAAACATATCCCACATATATGACAGTGATATGAATCCAGACATTTTCCACAGAATGTAGCAGCATAAGGCAAACCTCGAGTGTGCTAAAGACTAATAGCATTCGGCTTGCAACAACTGATGGCTTCTCAGCTTGCCCCATGACAGCCATTTGCTCTAGTTGAAGAGTCTTTACAGGAAGCCTTCAATGATCACATAGCAGGCAATATTATGATTTACCAACGGAAGGTTTTTCTTGTAAATTTAAGCATCTTCACTAAGTCTAATATAAAGCAAGTAAGGCATCTCACCAAGCCATTCCTTTCATAAAATATGCATTTGCTATGAGGGCACAAAAGCCTTTCCACTGAAGCCTCACTTCATCTGACACTGGAGGTGTAGATGACCATCTAACAATAGTTGGTTGGGGCGTACACAAGATGGTGATGAATACAATGCTTAGCCAGAGAACGCACTCATTAAGCTGCATCAAACAAACAAGAAAGTGATACCGGTGAGATCTAGCACACATAATGTCCACTAAATTAACTTAGCGCTGTTTCTTCAAGGCAGCCTGTTTGCTTCCAGAATGCGAAGAAATATAGTTTTGAGTCAAAAGCCAGAAAGAGGCTAGGCATTTGAACCATTAAGGTGAGTCAGTTTTCAGAAAATAGTAATGCTGCATATGGCTATGCAGGATAGAAGAGAATAGGAAGGCAGAATTCCTCCCCTTTAGATTAGCATTGTATAAGCTCTAAAAAACATCATAAGGCTAATACTAAGAAAAGGGGGAATAGGAGAATTTGTGATAATCATGACTTCAAATTAGCTGTACAACTAGATTCAAGCTGAGATAAAACTTACTTCCTCTGAGATAATCTTGGATTTCAAACTTGTACTTCCCCATAACTCCGCATTGCTTCAATTTCCACACCTGAGTCCTTCATATCATTCAGTTCTTTCTTATCCCTTCATCAGTGCATCCTAATGCATATGCGTTTACCCCAGCAGCTATGAACTCCTGTGAGTGAAAACAGAGAAAATAGGTCTTCAAACCAAAAGAAAGGATGAAAAACCGAATAAGGGAAGCAAATCAAGTAAGCTTCTAAATTTACTTTCAGATTTTCACCTCCCCCACGATCAACAAAAGTTCTGTATCGCCTAAACAGGCTGATTGCTATATTGCGTGATGACCGGAACTCATCATCTGATGAGATGGGATCATGTAACCCACACTACAATGAATGTCACGGTAAAACATATCAATCACCAGGAGTAAATTATGGACTAAACACAAGCAACAGACCACAGAACAGAAGAGGCTCACCAGCCATTTATGTGTAGCAACATGATGCAATATATGAAGGCTCTTTTGCTGCTTATCACATTTCCGGGAAAATGGAGAACTATGAGATGTAGTGCTGTGGGGACTCCCGAACGGTTTAGGAAAACTAGAGCTACAATTTAAGAAATTAACATTATTGGACTTCGATGGATATGCTTGTTGCTCAGGCGCTGAATCCTGATACAAATGGCACTTTACAACAGCTCTGGGAGCGTTCAACGTTAACATGGTTGACCATGATATTGCTTCCTTCAAAATAAAATTTGAAAGGTTTAGGAAGAACAGAGTTAGAAGAGTAGAATGAAGTATATATAAGCAGACACAGAAACAATCAAAACCTCAGACATTACAAAGAATTATTCTGGTTTTTACTTTTGGTCACACAGATAGCAATCAAGATTATAATTAAAACGAGTGAAATTCATGAAGAAAACAGCTGTAACATGGTCTGCGTTCGTGGGTTCGTATCTTACAATAAAGACATGATTTGGCTCGCAAACTAAGCTATATATGATTGAAAAGTTACAAGTGCAAACCTGAGAAAGATAATAAAATGGGATTAGGCATACCTGTTGAGAATCAGCTTAGCTCATCCAGCGATTGTATTGAAACCAATTGGGAAGTGAGGTTGAAAGAGAGCGAAGAATCAACAATAGCAATTGAGGGAGAATCTATGGACAAGGGGATTCACCTGAACCACGAATTATATGAATGGCTGCAGGATACACAGGATCGCTTTCAAGTTTTGAAATATGAAAATTCGAAAATTTCCCAGGAAATAAAAATCTCTGGCTGGGCTGTGACTGCGAGAAATGACCCTTGTTCCATGCCGCCTGCCAAACACGACAACGACATCGTTTTGTCCGGCTTTTCTTACCACCGCCTTGAAGGGCACAGAGGATCTGTTTGGTGACCGGTTTGAGCAGAGAATTGTAAATTTAGAGGCTGTTGTTTGTAATAGTTTTTGACCAATTTGAAGTCAAAAACTATTTTTTAAGCACGATCATGCTTCTCATTATATATTTTTTTTCTTCTCACTCAATTTTTAATTATTTATTTTTAATATTTTTTAACTAAAAATAATTTTTAACAGTTTTTATAATATTTTTTATTTTTATTTTTAATTTTAATTTTTTATTTATATAAATTGTATACAATATATCATCCAATTAATTATATAATATTATTTGGTTTAAAAAATTTTATATTACTGTAATTTCTAATTTAAATATCTTTTGTTCGTTAAATTTAACTTTTTCCTATTATAATAATTTGAAATTATTATCTTTTATAAATTCATATCCATTTTGGTCATTTTACAAATTAAACTTACTTATTAATCATGATCAAAACAGTTTTTCTGTTTTACAAATTAATTTTTATAAAGGCCTATCTAAATATAAATCATGTTACCCAATCTAATTTTTATTCAATTTTATTTTTCTAAAAGTCATATTAAAAAAATTACTTTTTCAACTTGAAATCTCTGAACCAGACCTTCTTTTTTTTTTTTTTTTGCCAACGAGCACAGAATTTCCTTGCACGACTCGACTTGTTTAAAAACTGTTTTCGTTAAATTAGATTATTCTTCTATTTTTTTGCCAACAGATTATTCTTCCATTTTTACAATGTGTCGAGTTGATTTATGTATACAGAACTTGAAATATAGTATAAACACACAATTTGTTAATTATTCATAAAAGAGTATAATTCTCTGAAAAAAAAAATATACCTTCGAATTTTAAAGTGACAGAAAAAGTTGCTTCTGTTGAAATTAATTGTAATTAATAATAACGTGAATAAAAATCACCTGAACACTATGGGGAAAACAATTGAGACAGGAATGTTGTCTATATGTTATACTTTCTTCCGTTTCAATTTGTGTGAGCCTTGTTATAGGTACAAGTGTTTTAGATCCTGAGTGTCTACAGTATCCCCACGTCACATCTCCATGATGAAGGGGGTGTTTGGATTGTACAGGAGTGTTTTTTAAAAATATTTTTTCACAAAACGAAACAAATTTTTTTACACATTTATTTGTATATTAAAAAAATTTTTAAAATCATGATTTGGTTTTCATCCAAACATCTCTTAACTCGATCAAAATAATGAAAGATTAGATATTAATAATCCTACCTTTCCGTCTATTTCGTTTTCAAATTTCTAATTCATTTACAAAAACTATTTAATTAGCACATAATTATGAGAAGAGTAATATATATTCAAAAGAATTCGGTACAAATTCAGTTTCTAAAAGTTAATCTAACTGGAACCCTAAGGTTAACAAATCAAATAAATAGTGATGGTGATGATGATAGGATCAGAGTGGAACTGTAAAGAAAGGCAAAAGAAAAATCAATGTGGACCAACTGTAGGAAAGTCAAACTTTGCCAATAATATGTTATGTGGAAGAACGCTAATTTGTTGGGTTCTTTTTGTCCCCGACTTGTATGCCCAGTTAAAATGCCAGAATAATTTCTTACGCGCCCGCGCACACCCCTGATAAATAAAAAATGGTGCTGACCAAAGAAACTTGAAAAAAAAAATGATTTTTTTAAAAAAAGAATAAAGTCAGAATCTAAAGAAGTCTGCCCTGAAACATTTTGCCATTCTAAAATTGCAGCTTGGGAGGTCTAGCATCAACACATGGATTAGGGAATAGTATATAAATGAATGAAGTAGAATTTTAGTAATGGCAGGAGCAATTGTGAAACCAAACACTTTGGTCAATAATAGCCTATCATTTTGAATATACTCATATACTACGAGTAATACATATAGTTTTGCCTGATTTTGCTCACAAGAATCCTTATGTTTTCACCCACACACATATATAAATGTACAAATTATACCAACCACCCCCTCATTTGTGGGTCATTGTCCATGGTTAACTCACGTTGAGCCTAAGAAAGAAAGAATAATAACACTTTGATCTTTTATTGACATCGCTATTCATTATTTTTCTTCCAATATATATTTTCAACTTGTATACATTATTTTTTAATTAACTCAACACTCCTGACATTTTTAAAATTGGAAAAAGGTTATAGAAAAAAAATTTAAAACTTAACTTTATAAGATATACAATTTGTATTTTAACAGCATTAGTCGAATAACTCTTTTTTGTTTCCCCGATTGTCAAAAGGACTTCTGCCTTTTATTTACTTATTTAAGTTGAAATGTCATTTTCCCTCGCTATGTTGTCGGTGGAAAAGCATGTGTTTGCTTTGAATTTCGTAATGCCATCACAGTACAAGTAATTAATCTCAAAGCAATTGCAACTAGTAGAGATAAAATTCAGAGTCGAATGGTGTATTACTCCTAAAAGATAGGATTGGGATTTGACGGTCAACAAAATAAATTAAAAGATCAGTTGCAGGGGGGAAAATTTGTCAGAGTCATAGATATATTGCAATTGCAATTGGATTGATGTTTAAGATCATAACATCCCTAAACAAAAATAAAACCTCTGCATTAATTTCTACGTTGGGTAGGATCAATAAACAAAAATGTTGGACTAATAGTGAATGGGACTATTCATTAATTATTGATGGCTAAAAGAGTTTGCTGGCGAATTCATCGACGTCAGCTCCTTCTACCCGAGAATAAGCTGATTTCTTGGCAAGGTCTCTAAGTTGTGACAAGCTCCTTCCCAATTTCAAAGCCAGCTTCATCTCAAACAGTTCTCCGTTCTCTCTTCTCTCCACATCTTCTTCAATCGCCTCTTGAACTGAATCTTCCAACATTTCAAAGAATCCTGCACAGTTCCGGTACATCTCAGCCACCATCCCCACTTGGCCACCGTGCTCAAAGCCGTTTATGGCCGTCGACAAGGCCCCCGCCACCGCCGGCACAATCGCCGACCACGATGATTCTGGGCTTATGAACATAGATCCCACTGCTGCAACTCCAGTAAGCAAAGGCCCAGCAATTGCCAGACTCTTGTTTACCTTCAACACCAGGTTCCCAAGTCTCTCGTAGTCTTCTATGTCCTTCTTCTTCACTACTTCCATAACTTCTTTTAACTCCATCTCTAGTCCTTCGTTCCATCCATTCTTAGCTTCCTTGGATTGTAAGGTGGTTCCCTTTGGTGATGAAGAAGGCCACCATGTTGCATGTTCGAACTTGCTTGGAAATTTTTCGATCATTGCTCCCAAAAGAGGAAGCGGGTAAGCTTTATCGAGAGCCAGGACCTTGGCCATTGCGGCCTTAACATCCTTTTCGTTCACTTTTCCTATCGCGAGTTTGGTCTCGATCTCGTTCTGGAGCTGCCGAAAAAGCCTCGTTGCGTTACGTTGCTCCTCAGCCAGCTGCGACGGCTGAAGCTTGTTCATTATGACAAGCATCCCAGTGGCGGCGGAGAAGAGGAGGCCGGAGGAGAGCTTAAAAGCGAGAAGAGCTGCTCCGTTGGAAGCAGCGACCCCGGCGACTCCGGCCATGGTGGACGCAGCGAGGGTGATCATGTTGATGGAGTTGAGGAGGAGGGTGTTCCAGTTGTCGCGCTGCTCGCCGATGTTGTGATGCATCTCTACTCGATCGGCCACTGCTTCGAGGATCACATAGAGTTCTGATCTAATCAGGTCGTCGTGAGATTGGGAGACGGTGAGGTTGGTGTTTTGAGAGGGAAGTATTGAATGGGAGAAGCCGTTGAGTTCTTCGAAGAGCATCCTGCTCGGGAGCTTTGATGATGATGAGAAAGGAATTTCTGGGAATTTGGGGACATTTATGGAGGCGTTGACAGGTACTACTCTTTTCGAAGAAGAAAGAAAAGACGAAGTGTTCAGGGAAGCCATTAATTTCAGGATTGGTTTGTTGCACTTGAACCTGGTTGTGGTTAGTGTTTTCTATGGATGGGGAGGGCACTTCTGGGTCATATATATAGAGGGAAGGAAGACGATGAACTGATGAAGAATGAGAAGGGGTCAGATTAGGACCATATTGACCGGCTCATTGGCAAACGAAAATTAGAATTAGAAAATAGACTATTGACTGGCTCTTACCGTTGACTCTATTGCGCGTCCAAGGCATCCTCAGTTACTCCCATGTAAATTTAGGCAAACTAGGTTCAGTATTTTTAACAGTTAAAATTGCTGGTAAAAAAAAATGACGGTTAATATTCATAACTGGGGTGCCATACATAACTTTTTTTAAATTATTTTTTCTGTTAGTAACAAACAGTTAAAAATTAACAAGATTTTTATCATATGGGGAAATATACCATTTAAGGCATATGGGCATTATCATCATATACAAGTACACATTCCAATTTATGAAATTCAATTAAAACAATCGTTCCCGGAATCAACAAGTGATTAATTATGATTTATTATGACTGTGTTTGGCCAAAAAAAAAATGCCAGTGTTTCTGGCCAAAAAAGAAAAAGAAAATAAGGCCAGGGTTTTGTTTTGTTTTGATGGATTATTGCAGCTGGCCATCTAGCATTCGCTGTATTTGTCTGCACTTCATCCAATACATTTCTCTGATTTGATACCATGAAGTTAAGCAGACACAAGTAATTGTAAACTATCTAGAGTTCTGTCTAATTGCTAGTGTTAATAATGCTCAAACACCATTTTAATTAGTGTTGTCAGAACCCAACCAAATCAAGGACCTCTCAGAAGTGATTAAAAAGTTAGACAACGGAGAATCGCTCGAAACCAGATTTTTTTTTCTTATTATTTTTTTTAAAAAAATTCAATGAGCCAAAACCAATTTTTTGTTGTTTTTTTTTTAATCTCTTGATTGGTCCTTTTATTTAATGAGTCACGAGAGCTTATGTTAGTTTGGTTGGATAATTAACCCAACATATTTGATGATTTTAATTATTTGTAACAGCTAATAAATAATTATATGACTCGGTGTGATTTGTCTATAGCCTTAGCATGCATGACAATTATTGACAAGGATATAGATAAATATTGTCTAAAATATTTTTATTGTTCATACATATTCTTTAATTTATATTAATCTAATTAAAACCGATCCCATTATGGATAGCATTTAATCATTAAACTTTGGATCAATGTCTTAACCGAAACGTGGGATTGTATTCTTAAAACATTGATTCTAAACATAAGGTTAGGTTTTAAAGAATTTCTGTTTTTTCGATTGGCTCCCGCGTAGAAAGATCAATGCTGTATTGAACTGTGCAATAAATCCAGATACCATTTGATCGCATGCAGTGCTCAATCATCGAATTCATTATCGTAGCTTTTTTAATTAATTAAACTTTTTCATTTAAGTCCACTAATAATGAAGTCCATGGATTGAGAGTGACCCGTCTCTTTAATAATTATTTGCATTTTGTGAGAAGATTTTATGAATAAATCCAATGACAAAAAAGTCTTTATTTTATTAAATAAAATCACACAGTGTACCCAGTACCTACCATATAGATGACCAAGACCTGATTTACTGGGTCTGCTCTTTAATATATATCTCATATTTAATATATAGTGGCCCACGCTCAACATCATAGATCTGTCATTCATTAATTATATTTTTAGCATAATAGTTTTTAGTCAGTGTTTGGTAGGAGTATACAGGACAGATTTGTAGTGTTTTCGTTTTTTTGGCCAAACACAAATTTGTGGTTTTCATTCTTATAGTCAAGCTAGAATGACATCCCCACCCTCCACCCGATTTCATTTATATCTCTATATTATCTAAGTTTGTAAAATTATCAAATATATTGAATTGAATTCGTAATTAAAAATACTTAGTTTCAAAATTTAAATGTTGAGTTATATATCAATTTTTAATGAAATAAATTGATGCTAAAATCTTTCAATACAAAATTATTTGTCATTGTATTTTGAAACAACCATCAATTAAAAAAGGGAATATTTTCAGCTTCAAGTAACAAATAGGGGGGCAAAGAGAAAATTCCTATGAATGAATATAATTACTAAAACATCTAAATGATAACATAGTAAAATGTAATGACAAGTTTTAATGTAATAAATGATAACTTTTCATTTGTTATTAAAACTTTTTAGCAATTGTTTTTTCCTTTAGAATCGTATAGTAATTCTTAAAAAAAAAGACAAAAAAAATGATTGAGATGGTCATATGACAAATTATGAAAGCATGCAAGAAGACAGTGATGAATAAACCCCATTCCATCTCGGTTCCATCTCTCCTAGGTGATCAATGAAATGAGGAACTTGTATGTTTATACAATGTTTCAATTACATGTGGCAAAACTAGCTTTTATTTCATTTGATTTTTACAAACATAAATTAGAATAAAAATCAGTTAGTATAATATGATTTATATTTAGATCAACTTTTATAAAAATCAGTGTTACAGATTGAAACTTATTTGGATAAATAATAAAAAAAATAAGTTCATATGACTGGAAGGGTATTGTTTTTCTCCAAACTAATTTATCTAACTTATATTTTAAAAAAATCATGTAACATAAGATATAATTAAGTAACTTGTCTAGCTTTCATAATATTTTTAAACTAGTTTGTTGGATCTTATATTAAAGACTTGAGATAGTATATCATGTGTATATATTTTGATAAATTCAATAAAAACAATAAATAAAAAATAAGTAAATATTACTCAAAATTATCAAATTATTGTATCAAGATATATAAAACCCATTTAAATTTTTATCCTGATTTTTTTTTTTTATGTTGGCAGCTCCAAAAACTCAAAATTTGAGCATTCCACCGTAACCAATTTTTGATTAAAAAAAACCTAACCAAACAACCTAAAAGCTGCTACTCACCCACAATCTCTCTATTTCATCAATTCCAGTGCACTTCCTCCAGCGGCAATCCACGTACCGACTGTTTTCATATGCAAATGATCAATCATGAATCATGCATCTTCTATTTCAAACAGTATCAATCGCTCATAACTTCTGACCCAAAAAAAAAAAAAAAAACTCAACCCCGAACCTTTTTCCCCGAATGCTCATAATAATTTTTCACTCAGTTAAAAGAAAAACTAATTTCATTTTAGCATAATTTGTTGTAACTGATATCTCAAAAATACATCTACGTACCTCCGGTCTTGCTTCTCTAGGATGTGATGAGAAGTAGGGTATCCAAACATCTTTTCTTTTTTTTCATTTAATACAATTAAAGACACACAAATATGCTGATCACGCACTTAAGCTCAAAACTTCCATCCAAACAAATGGCGTTACAGTCGAAACGAGGGATATGGGAATACCTGTATAAAGCAGAAGAAGGAGAAGTTACTAGATGGGTGTTTGGATACTTGAAATTTTTTTTTATAAATTAAAATAAATTATTTTATATATTTATTTTATAGGTCGTAAAATTACTTTTAAAATCCAATCCAAATACTCCTAATGAAAGTGAGTCCACATATGCAGATTACGTAATGGCTGATGTTTCTTTAAGTAGTGTGGAATTGAGACAGCTATACCAGTCCCAGCGTCCAGCGTCCAGCGTCCCACCACCCGGTCAACCTTTTGAAGCGCCTGGGAATCTTCTCGCCTGGCATTTATGCGGGCCCCACAAACTGTAGATTTGTGGTCACCATTTCTGGTCATTTTTTCCAAGTGTTTACTAAGGAAGCAGCCCCCCAACCCCAAAAATTGAAAAAAAGAAATAATGAATGAAAGGGGAAAAAATGATTGAATTCATCCTAAAATTGAGTGGTTGTATATAACGATGATTGCATTCATCACACACACAAACCAAAACATTTGATTGGATAAGTGCTCAGAAAATCGGATCAGACTAATTAGTTGAATTAGGAATATATATCATCTTTTTTTTTTACTATATATTATGTTCTTTTGATATGAATATTCATTATTAAGCTGAGTCTTCAATTTCATTAAGCCTTTACAAATTTTAAGTAAACTAGTCACAAGAGCAAGGGCCAAAAAAAAAAGAAGTGATAAATGGGTTATTGCAAGAGACTTTGGTTATGAATTTCACCAATTTCACCGATTTTTTATTGGTTTTTGCATAGCAAAGTTAAAAACATGTTTTGTGATCTTTGAAACTTAACATTATCGATCATCTTCAATAAAAAGGAAAAACTGACTTATCTTAAACAGGCAGGAAAATTTGGAAGACAAATTAGTTGTTTTATGCACAGTGATGAGTGATACCGTGTGGAAATTATTTTTTTAAAAAAACTGACGACATTAACATTTCGAAGGGAATATTGAATAATTATGATCACTTTCATATATCATATATGAACGACATGGGTGATGTAGGGGTATTTCTAAAGATATCTCATATATATATATATATATATATATTTGTTAATTCTTTAACGTGAATTTGTTTTATTTTAGATGCCCTGAAAAAACGTGGAGAATTTCATATAACTTGGTCCATAAAATCGAGTACATAGGGTTCGAATTATTATTATAATAACTACTTGCATTTTGTGAGAAGACTTTATGAATAAATCCAATGACAAAAAATTGTTTATTTTATTAAATAAAATCACATGATGTACCAAGTACCAGCCATATAGACGTCCAAGCCCTGATTTGCTTGGTCTGCTCTTTAATTTATATCTCATACTTAATATATTGTGGCCCACGCTCAACATCATAGATCTGTCATTCATTAATTATATTTTTAGAATAATGGTTTTTAATCCGTGTTTGTTAGGAGCATATATGACAAATTTGTAGTTTTCATTCTTATAGTCAAGCTGGAATGATGTCCCCCAACCTGTATCCGGTTTCATTTATATCTCTATATCATCTAAGTTTGTAATATTATCAAATATATTGAATTGAATTCGAAATTAAAAATATTTAGTTTCAAAATTCAAATGTTGAGTTATATATAAATTTTTAATGAAATTTATTGGTTCTAAAATCTTTCAATACAAAATTATTTTTCATTGTATTTTGAAATAACCATAAATAATAAAAAATGGAATATCCTCAACTTTAAGTAACAAATAGGAAAAAAAACAGAAAATTCCTATAAA